CCGACTATCGCCTACTCTGCCCACTTTTAGGCGATCTCTGAAAACCTATCTCTTCAGGCAAGCCTATCCTGCCTACAGCTAATAACCAAATCTTATATTTATCCTATCAGTTCATCCCCCACAGTTATTACCTTTTGTACCACCAGCCCCCTCCCTCTTAGATTGTAAGCTCCAAGGAGCAGGGCCCTCCTAACCCTCTTGTATTGAACTGTTTCTGTATGGTCTCCCTTTTTAAATTGTAAAACACTGAGCAAACTGTTGGCGTTATATAAATCCTGTATAATAATAATAATAATAATAAAATGTCTATAACCAAACATCAGCTGAAGAGTCGAGCTACCCAGGCTTCCATTATCCCCAATAATCAGGTTCCAGGCATTATTACATAGGACAGGGCTGTCTAGGGTATCCATAGAGCCAGAGGGCCATCAGAGGTGTAACGTCCACCACCAACCTACAGATCATAATCAGGCTGCATTCATGTTCTGGCTGACAGATGGGGTACCAGCTGGGGGCATAGCCACAAGGTACTTCAATCAGGTGTGCATCTGCCTTTGGCGCACAATAGATGGGCATGTAGGTGCGCAATGGGCGCACAATAGATGGGTATGTAAGTGTGCAATGGGCACACAATAGATGGGAATGTAGGTGCGCACAATAGATGGGTATGTAGGTGCACAATGGGTGCCTAATAGATGGGTATGTAGGTGCAGAATGGGTGCCTAATAGATGGGAATGTAGGTGAGCAATGGGCTCACAATAGATGCAGACTCCTGCAGACTGTTTGTGTAGCTCTGTGCTGATACCTCCGATACGGGCAGCCAGTTACTGAATTACAGGAAGGTCACAGAGATCACTGAGCTACCTAGAACACTCATTTCATTAAGAACTACAAGCTGTCAGCGGCTGACGTTACATGTAGTTTATTAATACACAGAACACTGTTAATAAATGTCATGGCTGTGTGGGTGGTTAAATTGTGGCAGTGGGTGCAGGGAGGGGATCCCCAGCACGCTGCCACAGGGTAGGGGATATTGGGGGGAGAGCAAACAGGTGCTAAACATGTTACACCTTGTATATGGGTGTAGCATGAAACATGTATGTTCACAAAGGTGAACTCATTCTTTAAAGGATAAGTTAATCTTTGGAACATGTTCCAGCTCCTGCCTCCGATCCCCCTTTCTCTGTAACAGCCGGAGGGGTTTTTTCCTCTCTCACTTTTTAAAAATAGCACAGCTGAGTGGGGCTCTGCCCACAGAGTCACTTCATTCATTCACTCACAGATTTCTGTGAATAAATAAGCTACAACTACCATCAGTGATCGAGGCAGATGGACTTTTTACTATGAATAAACTGTGGGCATGCTGATCAGCATTCCTGTAGTTCATTCACACTGCATACAGCTCTGAAAATGACAGTCCATAGTCTGGGCAACAGAGCTGTACTGTAGGCAGTGTATGCACGATCCTGACATTGCACCCGCAATCTGCTGTTTGCAGGTGCAATACTTTGCAGGCTCCTGTTTTAAGAAATAATAAATATAAATGTTTTATCTGCACAAATATGTGCATTTATTATTTTATATGTCAAGGTGAATGTAGCCTTTAATGCTTTAGCTGCCAGGCGATACGTTCCACTTTTAAACATAGTTGGCCAGACTATTTTTGTAATGTTTCCATTGCTTTTTTATCGTTCCCTTGCAGTTTTCAGAGTTTGTAAAAGACCCCCCCAAACCTTACCAGAACCAGGAGAATAAAAAGAAGATTTTACTGATTTTTTTAGGCCCTACAACAGTTTAAAAAATGTTAATCACTCCTTTTTCTCTAAAAAAAAGTGCTGCACACTAATTGACTGTTTGTACAGAAATACACAGAACACCTGTGCAGCCGATGTGTCCCAATTGACATCAATGGGATTGCTTACATGGGGATGCAGGGAACACCTCTGCATCCCTGTGCAGCTAAACATGGCCTCGCTGTAGTATGCCCTGTGTGGACAAGGTCTTAATTCTCCTTTAGAATTGAGGTTGGGGCGTGGCAAAAATGCGCAGCTGAGCTGCATTTCTATTGCCTGCCAACCACCCACCTTATCCGCAATAGGCAGCGGACAGGGGTGTTTACATGCTGTGGCCGTGGTGCTTTTCACCTGCAGCAAAGTTGATTTGACTTGTAGCAATCGGTGGGTGGCAAGCCCTCCGAACGTTATACATTCAAGCCAATGGGGAAGCGCCGCAAACATCCCACAACCGTGAGCAATGCACGTGGGTTGTGGCATATTTGTTGGCAAAAATGAGGTTAAAACAGGGGAAGAAGAGGCATGGCTTCACTTCCTCACTGCCTGTCAGTAGTAGATCTGAATGTGGATCAGGCTTCAGTGGCAAGGGAGATTTAGATGCATGCCTTACATCTAACCATACTATGATTTTTTTTTATATATATATATTTTTTTTAACAGGTACAATTTTATTTTTAATAATTCTTTAAATTTTTTTTTGGGGGGGGGGGGGGGGGGCTTTAGAGAGATATCATGGGTCTAAATAGACCTCTAATGTTTCTTTTGTTTTTAGGCGGAGAAAGGGCCTGAAGACAGTCCCTTTCTCTGCAGCCTGAGCTGCACTGTAGGAAAAGGAATAGAAGTTTCTGTATAGAGACTCTTATTTATTCACAAGCTATGTATCCGTGATGAATGGACACAGAAGCAATTGGTATCAGGAATGGAAGGGGCTGTCAAACACATGCACATGAATTGTTTACATATTTTTATCCCCTGTGGTGCCTTGTGCAGCATGGGGGAGGCAGAGGAAACAGGAGCTTATAGCAGAAGGAGGAATGGCAGGTCCATACAGCATATGTGCCTGGCCAGCTGGAAGTGGTGGTGTAGGTCCATATGCTGTACAGACCTGTCAGTAAAGGGTTAAAGGAAACTTATGGCGAGCGAAGTATGTATATTGCCATCACTGACCTCCTAAAAAAAAAAAAGCTAGTTACACAGCTTAAGTACTTTACTGATTGGTATGGAATAAGCTTGCATCTCATAATGACCTCGTGTAGTCAAAGCTCCTGATCTCAATACTTGTTTCAGATCAGTGGCCCGTAAAGTAAAGCCATTGGATCAGCTTGACACATCGGTGTGTCTAGCATTTTCAGAAGTAAGCAATGGCAGCCTATATGTACAGTATCTTGGCAGAGACTGTGGATTCCCAAGATAAGAAAGGGACACAAAAAAATTGCATGTTTGTGTTCTATATGCATATACTGTATGCCTACACCAGGCCATACACTGATTGAAATGTATCCGTTTCAGCAAGGAGCAGTTGAATTTCGATCAGTGTGTTGCCATTCTCGCTCAACAGAAGTCAATCGCTTGATTAACTTGTGTCTGAGGGACTTAATGAAAAATTATTCTTAATTAGCTGCTGCCCATGATCAGTGTATTCCGACCTGTCATTGTCAGAATACAGTGTCCTGGCAGGAAGGGATTCCTTCATCCACCTCATTTGTGTGGGTGGAGGAATGTGTTGTTTTTTTTTTTTCCTGTTTAGTCCTGTGGCTGGCTCATGAATGAGTGCCTTGTTGTTGAGACTACAGATGCGAGGTGCAGCGTGCAGGCAGCCCATTCTGTTGGATGCAGCAGCTGCACAGACACAGCCACTCCTACTGAATTGTTAAGGACCCAAAACGCAGACAGTCTTTGAAAACAAGGCACTTATTCATGGGCTACTTGTTTCCATCTGAGGCCTAACAGTGTATGGGTTGCTTAAGATTGGCTCTTTTACATCAGGAGACCAACAGACTACAGCACGGGTGTTAAACTGGCGGCCCTCCAGCTGTTGCCAAACTACAAGTCCCATGAGGCATTGCAAGACTTACAATTACAAGCATGACTCCCAAAGACTTCGCAACAGCTGGAGGACTGCCAGTTTGACACCCCTGGACTACAACAATACACTAACAAAATTATCTTGAACTTTCTTACATCAACCTCCTAGACATCCTCAGCCTTGGTGTGGCCATAGACCATCATGATGCTTAGACAGTTAGGCACAATATGACCATTGTAAAAGGTCATCCTGCTTTTAAGTGTGCTTGCATGCATGCTGAGATCACCTGTTCAATGCATTTTTTTTATATAATGAAGGAAGAGTGTGGAGTAGTCAGCCAAGACGATTTTACATGTAAACAATCGTTCCATTCAATGGTTCCCATTGAAAAGAGGGCCATTCTTTCATTGCAGAGGTGCTCGGTGTATGTCACAATGCATCTGTTAATACAGCAATGGGGACATTAATAGGCAGAACTCTCACAACTTTTTAAATGGTGAAAATTTTCATATCATCTGGGAACATATGAATAGTTCTTTTACATTAAGGTAACTCCTATTTGAAGTTTGATGCTTTTTGGATAATGTGGGAAATTGCCTCAAGCTGTTTGGCTCTGCTCACTTTTGTGATTTTACATTTAAATTTTTAATCTTCCCCAACTCACATTTCCTCTTTTTTTTTGCTGCTTTATTGAATTGACTTTTCCAATGAGATTCTGAGGATAAAAAATATTAAAACATAATATTATACCGCTGGCTACAATAAAGTACAGGAAATTTGATATGAAGTGATAAGTTTCAGTTATGACTATAAGGGTATGCTGTCATATAGGGCTAAAAGCTCAGCACAATAACTAGAGGAACAATTCTTTCTATACAACCAAGTCTGCGAAAAGAGGAAAAAGGCTGCATACATTCATATTACACCAGACAGGTACTCAGTTGGTAATATAAAACTTTGCTAACAGTCTAAAGCAGTGTATACATGCAGAGTTTTTTGTTCAACAAGCAATGTGGATGCAAGGATGTCCCCCATCCCCAGCCAGCATACACAGATCAGTGCTCCAACCATTGGCTGCATGTGCTATTCAAATGCCAATGTTCCATCAGGACCGTTTGTTCAACAGAAGCCAATCTTACCACTGGCTTCTGTCAGACAGTGGTACACATTTTCCTGAAATTCGTCTGGTTCCTGCTAAAGCAACCAAAGCAATAGCAGGGCATAAAGGGTAAGTTCACCACCAGGGGCTGACTGACAACTCATAGGGCCCCCAGGCAATAGGGGATCATGGGGCCCCTGTGTCCTTGCCCAAACTCAAAAAAGCCTATGAAAAAGGTACCAGGGCATCTCATGGGGCGCTTTACTGACCCCGGGCCCTCGGGCAGTGCCTGAGCTTCCAAATGGTCAGTCCGCCCCTGTTCACCACACAAGTGCAGTAGGTATGCTCTCCAGTTGCCTATGATGAGTTCAGTGGCTGTGACAGGAGAGAGTGCAAGTTGTTGTGTGCGTCCTGAAAGGCAGGACAGTGCTCCCTCCTATTGTAATTGGGTTTTCTGATTCTAACGGCTGCTCTATCCTTAAAATAACACAGTTTTGAGCCTTTGCAGCTGTAGAGGATTTTAAGAAGGCTCTTTTTTCAGTGCAGTTTTGGCCTACATTCTAAGAGCTGATAGGGAGCCCTGGCAGGAAGGTAGGATTAGAACACTATGCTTTTGGTAAAGGTGAATTTGGCCTTTACAAATTTGGATTTCTTAGGGAAAATTCTGCTTCAGGCTCCATTTAGTGCTGGTCACATAACCACAAGTCTAGTCATTTGGTCTCATGAGCTACAATAAAGGAAATGCGCAGACAATCTGAAGGGCAGATTATTAGCATATGAGGCTTTTTACTTAATGGTAGCCATGGAGCCAGACTCTAAAGATATTTCATTGATATGCAGAATCTTGTTAGTGCTAAACCTGTACTTGCGAGCCAATGGGTACACAAAGCTGCACCCCTAATTTACAAGAAGGCCTGGGCAGATAAATTAGTTATATATAATTTTCCTGGTTCCTCTCTGGTTTTAGGTACTTTCAGCAGCTGATTATTTAATCACTTACTGAATATGCAGCTTTTATATTTAATACTTGCCTACAGTATACTTGTTTAACCTGATGTCATGACTACTACTGCAGGTTTCCTGTTTGTAGCATATTATGGAGCCACTCTTGCATGCAGAGTCTGCCTACACTGTGTACATCAATAGAAACACCCCACACCACAGCCTAGGATGGCAAGGTAATCACTTTCTCCTCCTACCTCCTTTCTCCAAACTAACAGACTGGCTTAGGAATGCACTGTTTATGGGAAGCAGAACTAACAGAGCAGGAGCTAGCAGCAACATGCTTGGGTAAGGATTTTAACAACAAGTTTACTGGGGAATGTTTATTGTGCTGAATGTGTTATGCTAGTGAATGTTACACTTTATGCAATGAACACATGGCAATATTCAGTAGAGCTTCTTCATACAATTCACATTACTATTGAAGGTAAAATGACTGCTTTATCCCCGCTTCCTTCCTGAGTTCCAGGGGTATGAGAGGAGACTCCTGCTGATTGACTGCTTCCAACAAGATCTGTGGAGGCCAGTCAAGCCACTCCATGTCTATCAATCAAGCCATGCAGACTGAGTAGGGTGGCATGATAGCATGTGCAATTATTGGCTGACTATGAGAGTACAGGCACGCTATATGTAGGCACCGCATCCTTTAGGTCCTAGTGCAAGGAGCGAGGACACAACATGACCACATTACATACAGTACATCTACTTCTGTGGTTAGCATAGTCAGAAAAGAACAGGATGGCGTGATTTCTGGAGGAGACTGGCAAGATCACCAGGTGTTTAGTCTGCGTTTTTATCCATATATTAATACAAGCCTGAATTATATGAAATATGAGGGACAATTTGTAATCCCTATGCTTGTTCCAAGTCAATGACTCTGAAAATATTGTAAGTACTGTATGTATGCATGTGGGGATGAACCTTAGATTGTAAGCTCCTTGAGGGCAGGGACTGATATGAATGTATAGTAGGTAAAGTTCTGTGTAAATTGTCTGTGCTGTTTAAATACTTGTAGTAAATAGTAAATAAAGACAAAATAAATGTTCCATACTTAAATACGGTATTAAAGGGTCTATTTATAATTGTTTTCATCCAAACACATGATTTACACATCTTTCCAATAAATGCAGTTAGAAAACATGAGAATATTGGGTGCAGGATGTGTGAATCTTGGGTGAAAACATTTATAAATAAGCCCCTAGAAGTCAGATAAGACTACATAAAGTCCACATTTTGGCTCTTATACACTTTCTAACACTTCTTTTCTTCTGTATTGAAATAAACTGCTTATTATGTAGAAGATGTGTATATAAGCTGAACAATGGCAATTATCTGTCATGATTTTGTGACAATGGAATGACTTTTGACCCATAGAGTAACAAATACATTTCTAGAAAGGCCTGTCTGAAGCAAATGACGTGCTATATCTAGCCATACATGACCTTGTGATTGATGTGGGTTGATGCTGGGTTTGATCAGTTGCTTTGCATTTGTCAAGCGTTTCAGATTAAAGGGCACTTAATGCATTATTATGTATGCAAATGAAGCAGCGGTTGATCTTGCCTGTCACATTGTTGGATATTTTCTACGTTCTTGTGGGTAAAAAGCACATAAAAAATGTTCATTTTGCATTAAAACGCAATTGTATAATGGGAATATATGGCATTTCTTTCTACACTAATAGAAGGCTTAAACCCAGACAAACATATGTCCATGCTTATGCAAATTGCCGCTTTCTTCTGGGAAAGACCTTATTCAGCATTTCTTAATGTTTGTTGCCTGAAGTTTTCCAGAAACACTGCTGCAGATTGATGGAAGCTAGAGCAGATTGTCACTTTTGACTTTAGCAGTCAAAGAGATTCCTGGTTTTTAGTTTTAAAAAAATGAAGCGTGACTGGCTGTGTATTTATCAGATTGCAGTGCTGAATAAATCAGCACCACAATCCGATAAATGAAGACCAGAAGAAGAGTGGAAATGTTGGCCAAAGCAGACAATCACACTTAACAGTCATTGTTCTAAATGCATGTAAGAAAATAGACAGCTCAGCATTTTCTTTTTCCTCAACCAGCTTCATGTGTGAAAGTGCTAAGTCTTCAAAAGTGGCTTGTAATAGAAAGGACTGTGGCAGTAACAGGAAATAATTACTAGCCCTGTTTCATGTACACAAAATCTGATCTGTCGGGGGTACTCAAGTAATGGAGTCGAAAATCACAGACTTCCAGCCTATTTCATTTACATGAACACCACTCAGGGACACATTACAGCTAGCCACAAATGGATTGAACTTCGGCCGGTTAACCGTTTGCCCGCCGTTCTGTAGTAGAAGTATTGCTACAGGGTGGCAGGGCTGCGCAAAATCACTTATATATACGAGGTTTGCATTTCTGGGTAGGGGGGTGCGCACCGTTGATGGCTAGAGATGTCAATCACCGGGTCCCGGATGGAGATTCCCCGCTGGCACCTGGCGATCGCCGTGTAGAACTGACACGGGAGAGACCTGTGTGTAAACAAGACCGGTCTCTCTCCTGCCAGCAAGGACATGCATAGCAGAGAAATACAAAGCCGCATGTCTCTGTAGTAAAACAGCACACAGCACACACAATAAAACACACACTGCACACAGTTAACCCTTTGATCGGCAAAAAGTTAAACCCCTTCCTGCCCAGTGTCATTAGTACAGTGTCAGTGCTTTTTATTAGCACTGATCACTGTATTAGTGTTACTGGGAATGTCAGTGGCAGTTAGTCAGTTCCCACCCAGCGTCAGAATGCCTGCCGCAGTCCCGCTATAAGTCGCTGATCACCACCATTACTAGTATAAAAAAAAAATCTAGTATATACAGTATATGGCCATTTGTAGACATTATAACTTTCATGTAAACCAATTAATTTACACGTTTTGGGATTTTTTTTTTGTTTAGCAAAGACATGTAGCAGAATACATTTTGGCCTATATTTATGGCGAAATTTGATTTTTAAATTTTTTTTATTGGATATGTTTTATAGCAAAAGGTAAAAAACTGTTTTTTTTCTCAAATTGGTGGTCTTTTTTGTTTATAGCACAAAAAAATAAAAACCACACAGATGAATAAATACCACAAAAAAAGCTCTGTGTGGGGGAAAAAAAGGACATACATTTATTTTATGTTCAGCATTGCATGACTGTGCAAATGTCAGTTAAGGTAACGCAGCGCTGTATTGCAAAAAAAATGGCATGGTCAGGAAGGGGGGTAAATCCTCTGGAGGGCAAGTGGTTAAACAGAGATTGGCCAAATTTCCATATGTGTGTGACTATCCCAGTCTAAGAGAAGTCAACATCTGATGAACAGGAATGTTGTAAACCTTTTCCTGATTTGTGGCTGCAGTGGAGTCCTGCTGTCAGAATGCAATGGGTTGATTTACTAAAACTGGAGAGTGCAAAATCTGGTGCAGCTGTGTATGGTAGCCAATCAGCTTCTAACTTCAGCTTGTTCAATTTAAGCTTTGACAAATAAAACCTGGAAACTGATTGGTTTTCATGCAGAGCTGCACCAGATTTGGCAGTCTTGAATTTTAGTAAACCAACCACTATGGGGTTTATTTACTAAAGCTGGAGAGTCCAAAATCAGACTCCCTTCTGCATAGAAACCAATCCGCTTCTAACCTCAGCTTGTTCAATGAAGCTTTGGCAATGAAACCTGGAAGCTGATTGGTTTCTATGCAGAAGGGAGTCTGATTTTGGACTCTCCAGCTTTAGTAAATAAACTCCTATGTGTCAGTGGGGAGGATTCCTATATCCATGATTGTGTGGATGGAGGAATATGTTAATTTTTTTTCCCATCAGCCCAAAAAATCACTTATGGGCACCCAACCAAAGGGATCAAGGCAAGGTAGCAGCTATAACTCCCCCCATTGTTTAGATTGACACTGATTGCAATAGGCTAGGCACAGAGCAACTGACCATTTCCACTAGCATGGCTTCATTAGACAACTATTTGTCTACAGATGAATCCTCTTTAAAAGAACAGGCAGGTTTATAAATTTGACCAGTTGTGCTATCCATGTGGTTTTCTGCAGGAGAATGAAGGTTGTAGCTGGGTCCCTTATACATCAAATTATCCCAAGGCTCCTTCATAGGTTGCCTTGTG